TACTAATTATGTACTAATGTCTACCACATTAAAATGTTGTACTCCGATATAAACAAAGAAAAAACCGACATCCAAATGTGGGTGGCAGCTTGACGTTAAGTAGACCCCATTCTCATAAATTCAAAATCAACTAGGCCTACCATATCTAGCTATTATGTACATTAATTTTTACCACAATAAAAATTTTCTACTCAACTATAAACAATACAAACGGTGCCTCATGAGAGGCACTTTTCACACAGCCATTTTCTGAATTTTTAAACATATTTAGAGTGAAAGTTTAAAGTTGAAATTAATAATGCAAGAAATCATAGAACTTTTACATATTAATTAATTTCAAAATTTTATCTAGTTCCGCAACCCTGTCGATATTACATCTAAAAACATAAACAATTGCGACGGCCTCTAAACAACAAGTGTCGCCACTGCTCCCCCTTCGCAGAAATTCCCAATTTCAACTAGTCATATTCTTCACTATATGTACTATACGAGAGCGAGAGAGTGAGAGTTAATTTCGTGCTCACATAAGCAATTAACAAAACCGGTTTGCATTGAACACTTAAGCGTTCATTTTCTGATTTTTTAAAACTCGTTTTCCAGTAAAAAATAATTTTGAAATTTAGACTGCATTGGGACTATGTTGTGTTTTAGGTTTAATAATCTAATAATAATTTTTTATTATAAGTAAACAAATTGCAATTTTTCATTTTACTATGAGTGAAATCGCCAAATAATATCTATGAAACACCTGTATTTAACCTAAAGATCTGCCAATGTCATATGTTTATGCGTTAGCAAAAAAAATGCAAGCTTTATTGTTCTTCTGGCAATACTCTATATATAATAGAAAAATGTCTCCCTTCACTTCCAATACATTTGAACTCAATTTATTATAAAAGCCTTTCAAGGTCCACAATTATCTTGATTCTATAGGATGAAGTAACCCATATCCAGTTGCTGTTTTGTTTAAAAATCTACTTCAAACTATAAGTCATTTGAAAGCATATAGTCATTAGTAAAAAGCAGAGTATTAATGGGCGGCTTCCTGGCAACCCATCGCTGCTCATGATCAGCCCGCGTTCTTCTTATTCTAAGAGGAAGTTATAATATTCTGATTGGCTATTCAGGGAAAAGTGTGCATTTCCTTTCAAAACGGATTTCCTTTTTCCAGGGTACACAATGAATAACAAGTAAGCATAATTTAGGAGCTTCTTCTGCAATTCAGCACTGCAAATTATCGGTCGGCTATTCCTATAAAGAAAAAAAAAAATGAATTGTTTAATACTATTTTTTTAAGGTGTTCTCGTTTCCAAGATAATATTTCTTTGACCATCACAGAAATGATCTAACAGCCAAAGCGTGATTTAATAGGCCCTTCTTTGCATGCGTCATGCAAGGATCTGTTCAGCTATTCCTATAAAGAAGAAAAATTATATATTTGCATAAGTCGTAAAAAAATGGTTTTAGATTGCTTCAAAAGGAGATTTCATTGTCCGGCACGAAATAATTTACAGCCGAAATGTGTATAACGTATGTTTTGTGTACTCTGGCGGACCGCTCAATCATAGTTCAAGCCACATTCATGAGCTGAGCTGAATCAATCTTTATGAGCCAACAAAATGTTATTCTCTGCAATATGGCGCCCGACAAACTAGTGAAAAAGTGATTTTAAAAATTTACCAAGACCTAATGAAAGACATCCGTTATGGAAAACAAATTTATTGAAAGATAACAACGCTCTATCTTCAATTTTTGTAGCTCGTAGAAGACGCCCCGACAAGATTCAAAGTTCTTGCACATTTCGAAAATTCAAGATAACCGTGAAAATTTTACCTACGCACCTTTATAAGAGTCATTTCACTCTATGCTTACTAGAATCTTAAAGGCGCAAATGGATTCGTTTTTGCAGAAACATTATTAAAAGGCTTATGAAAATGTACCCCCCAATTTTAAAGAATCATTTTGTTTAAACTATCAAAGTCTCAATCGAGCCACGTGCAATGGTTCTCCAATTTGGAAAAAAACCCTACGTATAGCTTTAAGCATATGGATTCACAGCAAGAGAGACTCGTGGGAAGCGAACAGACGGTCTTGTTGCCGTCAATTGGTTATTTCATATCAAGAACCCGTTTTTACTTTGCTTCACCAACACATTAGAAGAATTCTTTTCTACCTTTAGCAACCTGGATTTACTGCCACTTTTTCCGTATTATCCCGGAGCGCAATCCCCGAATTTTTTCCTAATCGTCCGAAAGGACACCTTTTTTCGCGGATTACATAGCGGAGCATATGACCAGTATATAACTCCCATATTATACGATATGTAGACGGGACATAAGTAAAAAGGGAAGCAACACTCTATCCGACAGTTTTTTGTTCGCATGTCCGTTAAGTCTAGCAATACCCCACTTTATCCATAAATCTGAAAGCAGTCTTTCAGGAATTTTTTCGCTCAAATTAGAAGGATAGCTCTCAATACCCTCAAATTACATTAAATATAATCTTGTTACGCACTAGTGTAGCAGAGCGCGAGGTTGTGAGTATATTAACTATCATATATATATTGAATTAATTATGTATTTGAAATTCATTCAAGATTTATATCTATTACGACAAAGAGAATAATGCATGAAACAAACAATTATATACACCAATCGGTGGTCTGTAAATTAAGGATGACTATTGATACCGAAAATCTTAAAAACTTGTGGGAAACGATGGCAACATCTAAGGTTATTCACACCAGTCAAATGTCAACCTATTAATATTCTGTCACCATGTTTAATTATATATGTCTGCTGAGGAGAATTGCGAGGATCCGGAAGTGTTTCGAAAACGAGTGTTGCAGGGTGTCGAGTTGGCCTTATAAACGACTGCACGAAAGAATCTCTACCGCTTACATCCTGATAGTGGCATCACGCCCGGGTCCACCCGAAATTGTGGTAGCGCCTTATAGGGACCTTTTCAACGTCTAATTCCTATATGCTCTCGGTGGAGGGACGTGTCCGGGGGATGAAGTTAACATGTGAATCGAACTTGCAGGTGCGAGGTTGAGATACTTAAATGAGACTTTGAGGCCCATGTTTTTGCCCGGGATATTAGACTTTAGGATTTTACCATTTGTTGTTTTGTTAGATCGGGATAGTGTGAGGTGAGGTAGTCTAGGGCGCTCAGCCCAGGCGGCAGGGGTGCAAGGGAGTCATACCAACCAATAATACCTTATTATTGCAAATTAATAGGTACTACACATAGAGTGACTTTGGCGCATGGTAGGTGTAGGTTAGCGCAGACAAGAGGGACTAGAAACAAGATACTCAGGAAGCCCTCGGCATCAACAAACAACGGAGTTAGTAACAAAGCTGAACTAGTACGACGCAACAGTCTGCACCATCTTGCACGCAAACTAGTTCTAAACAAAAATAAATTTGTTTCAGTCACCACCGTCGGCCCAAGTCATCTCATGGAAATAGAAATAGTGCAGTTTAAATAACAAGATAACACTCGTTGGAGTAAGCATATACTGGCTTAGCGTTACCTTCACATAGGATGGAACAATAAGAATTTATGCACGGTACATTTTCTCTACCAATGGGCCCACATAATACTCAGATGCTCGTCGAACAATTTACCATTTATGACACAGTTTTACCATATTGTTCTTCTATACTACATTTTACTACCTCACCAATACACTACTGTGTTTAAAAGCTATCCGAACAACGTCGGCTAAAAATGATACCACATTCGTGGCGTCCTCTCGCGCAACGCGAGTCAACTAGGGTGCTTGGGCTTAGCCTTCGAAAGACGGCTATACCCTCATCACTTCGCACGGCATACTTCTACAATTCACTCCGAAGGGACTTGCGGCTCCTTTGCTAGCCCCATTCTCAAGGTGCTGCCGCACTGAGGAGAAGTGTCCATCGTCCACCGGTCGGCCTTAGACACTATCTTGGCCACAGCCAAATACCATTCTCCCCAAACGGGTCTCTGTGCGTATGCCACCCTTCACAAGCCGACAG